AAGACATAAAATAAGGCTAATAGTAGTACCAGTCTTACATGGTTGTTGTGAGGATTAGGGACAGTTTGGGCAAGAACAGTGCTTAGAAAAATACCTCAGGGGCCGGGGAGATGGCTCAGTGGAATAAACACTTCCCTGGCAAACTCAAGGGCCTGAGTTCAATCCCCGGTTCCGCCAAAAAAAAAGAAAAAGAAAAATACCTCAGATGTAGCATCTTCGTTTTAGCTTGTTTTATTACCTCTGTTGTCCTCTTGAATGAGACCAAAGTCCTTATAATTCAGCTGTGTTGAATCTTTACTCCCTCAGTATGTACACGTAACCTTCAAAAGTCTCCTTTTTAAGTAATTTTTGTGTCATAGTCATTGGTTCCCTAAAATTAAGGCCCTACTTCACTTTGTATGCTATTATTTCTGTAATTGCACCTATATTAGGACAGAATTTAAAACAGAAGTTTACTTTTGCAAGGCTGAAAGTCTGAGAAGATGATGCCTACATGGTTGAGTTCTTTCTTTCTTTCTTTCTTTTTTTAATTGTATTTAGTTCAGAGTCTACAGGGTGTCACTTGGACTTGTAGTGATCCGCCTGTTTTCAGCCTCCCAAGCACTGGGATTACAGGCATGCACCCCTATGCCCAATCTCAGTGGCTGTCTCAGCATGCCCTAGGGGTAGGGCCATCAAGGCCTGTGATGCCAGAGATGGAACTCCAGCTGTTGCACTCTGCCTAGGCAAGCGATTTATTCTGCTGAGCTATCTGTCCATCCCATGGTTGAGTTCTGATGAACACTTTCTGGGTCACAGACAGCTGCCTTGCTAAGTCCTCACATGGTTGAAAAGAAGCAAACTCTTGTGTCTTTTTCTAAATTTCTTAATCTGTAATAGAACCCTAGCCCCATGGCCTCTTCTAAATCTGATTACCTCTCCCAAGTCCTGTCTGTAACGTTGTGGGGGTAGGACTACAACATAAGAATTTAAGGGCAGAGGACACAACTTAATCTAGAGTACCACCCTTCTTTCTCAGTTATGTTTGTTTTTAATGAAGTGTGTGTTTTTCAGTGCTGAGGATGGAAGCAGTAAGAGTGGAAGTTTGAGCCCAGCCTGGGTAATTTAGTGAATTGGGAAGACCTTGTATTTAAAAATTGGTTTGGAAAGGGTATGGCTCAGTGTGAAGGCCCTAGGTTCAGGCTTTATTAACACATACACACCACTTTTGTTTTTGTGGTGGTGGCTTCTAATAGTGCTCAAGAGGCTAAGGCAGGCTGTGGGATACATTGCAAGCTCGAGTCCAGCCTAGAGTACATAGTGAGACCCTGTCTCAGAAAAAAACTCAAATATAATAATTACAGCATTTACTTGTCTATTTGATTTTAGTAGTTTGAGACAGGATCTCAGCATGTAGCTCAAACTGGCCTTGAACACACAGCAGTCCTTCACTACAGTCTCCCGAGTGCTAGGATTATAGCAGTATACCACTATGTCCAGCTTACCGTTTTAAGTTCTCTCTTATACCATTCCTTCTGTTCTCTGACACCTCCATCAGATTTGTGTTACAATGCTTCAATCTTCTGTGACTTTTTTACTGAGGTCTCCCTATGTTGCCCAGGCTGGTCTTGAACCTCTACTCAATTTTCTGGTTTCAGCCTCCCGATTGCTGGGACTATGGGCAGGCAATGTGACTGTGCCAGGCTTTTCAGTGACTCTTAAGCCTTTCAATTTTTTTTTTTTTTTTTTTTTTT